TCACCGGCGACAGGTAACGATGTTTAACTATGTCTTGTTTTTTTTTGTTTTCTTTTTCTCTTTTCCCCACTGAAAACTCAAATTTGTAGTTATTCTTTACTGGAATTTCCAACTTTAGTGTTGGAATTTGGAGCTCCTACCGGAAAAAATTTGGAACATCACTTATTTGCCGAAATTCATGCCAGAATTGTGGAACCTTGTTGGAAAACTTCGAAATTACACCATCATATGTTCTTTTTCATATTTTTATATTTAATTTTGTATGTGGAATGTTTATATTGTGTATATATGATATGTATTTGTATGTATATGTTTTTCCATGTGTATTTGTATGTGTAGTCTTTGTTTATGTGTATGACTTTTGAAATTATATATGTAATTTGTATGTATGGAAAAAATGAAAAAAAAAGTAGGTTATTATAATGGATGTATGATGCTATAAGGAATATGTAATATGTGTAAGAAGTATTTTTAAGTGTATTGGTATGTAAATGTGTGTATTTATGTATGTAATGTGTGGAAAAAGAAACTTCTACACCAATTGTAGATCTTTGTATGTTTTTCAAGCAAATTTGCTCCCGAACACTAAAGGTGGAAGATATGAGGAAAAAAAAAGACATTATTAGAATCTTGTGCAAGTTAGAGTTGATTTATCCTCCAACATTTTTTGACATTATGATTCATTTAGGTTTGCATTTACAGGCTACACATGAGGTTTAGTTGGTCGATACTCTTTACCATGATGGCTGATGTTATGGGCATTGGACACGGAGGTGATGGAACCGGGGATCTACCACCTCCGGTAGGCTTTAGTATCGGTCTGCATGAACAGGATGGTACGTCTTATTATGATATATTTATTGGCTATTTTTATTAATTTATTATAAATTATCATGACTAATATTTTTAATTGTATTTTTTTCATCTAAGCGTTCAAAGAAAAGAAGGGGTTTATCTAAAAACATCGAGCTAGTAAAGTTGATACAGGAAAACAAAGGGAAAGCCCGTGGATTTGGATTTCGACAGGGAGATCACATGCACCTCTGTCGGGAAGCGTGCTAATTGGTTTTCACATGAGATTGGGAGATATATGTGGATGAACATCCCTTTCAACGTATCTGGTTCGGATAATGTTTCCCCCACTTTAAGAAATGCAACAATCATGCATCTAAAGGCAACTTGGATAATATTTTAAGTTTAGTTGTAATTGGTATTTAATTAACTAATTTTTTATTTGTAGAATAAGTTTGGTTTGGATAACGTTAACTTGGATCTCAGGCATGCTTAGTAGTTGCGGAGCATTTATTCGAGTCTTGCAAAAATTTATAGAGGACAGAAAAGTAAATGTAGGGTTTCAAAGCACTCCATGGATGATGGCAATGGGCCCCTTTGACGAATTCTAGGTTAAAAGCCCAAGACTTGTCTTTTCCCTATAAATAGTCATGTATTATTCACAATTAGGGTTAAGAGAGTGAGGCAAAATGTAGCCGCCACGTTGTGAGGTTTCTTGTAGAGTTAGATTCTTATTTCTTAAGTGTAATTTGTTCCTCACAATTCAATAAATCGAGTGATCATTCGACCTAATCTTCATATTTGTGTTTGTTCTTATTTTCCGCATCTTGTTCATCAAATCACAATTAGGGTTTTAATCCCAACAAGTGGTATCAGAGCGGGTCTTTGAAGATCTATTGATTTTTGAAGTATCGTTTCTTCATTTGGTGATTTTCTGCACATATATTGAAGATTATTGATGTTTTGGCGGTATGGAATCAAGATTTTTGTTCAGGTTACTGTTCATGGAGATTATAATGTTCATCTGGTAATTTTTTTTTTTAAATCTGATTTAATCTGATTCATTCTTCTGTTCATATTGGATCTGGTCGTTAGCTTAATCCAAAAAAAAAAATTGACGTTAATCTTCAATTTTGATCCAATTTGATCTATTCGAATCTAATTTTGATCTGGCCCATATTCTTGGCCGATTCACTGTTCATGGTCCACATGCTTATTGCCGATCCACTTTTTATTCCTTGGTTGTATGCATCTTTTGCATCCGATATCGTATTCTGTTCTAATTCGACATCGATGATTCTTGTGTTTGAGGTTAATGGTTTTCGACATGTGTATATCAATTCTCATGAATCGATTTTTTTTAAGTTTTAATCCAAGATCATATTGTTCGTCAATTTTCTTGTTCCTGTTCTTAGAGTCAATTTAATCTCATTATTATTAATTTGATTAACGTCAAACTTGAAATTTTCTGATGATCTACGAGTGAAATCGATCTTTGAAGAATCGATTTGGTGTCTGATTTAATGTAAATCTCGATGTCTGATGATGAATGGACGAACAAATTGTATTTTGATTTGGTGAGTCAAACCATAGAAAGTCAAAATTGGAATTTATGATTTCACCTGTGTATGTCAAGTGAAAATTAGACAACCCCCCCCCCCCCCCCCCCCCCACACACACACATGGGTATGTCAAGTGAAAATTAGGCTCAAGCAGTCGAACATTTTCAAACGCTTGAATTTTTAAAACATTCAATGTCAAACAAAGAAGTCCATGCAAAACAACAAGTTATAAACAGAGGGGTCGAGCTCGTATAACAATGCCTATTTCAAAGAAGTAAGTTATGATATATTTAAATATTTATTTAAAGTATAATTAATCTAATTTCTAATGTTAAATAGGACATCACTCAAATCGAAGCATTTCGTAAGGCATACCAAGCACCAAAGGGTATTTAGTAGTCTTGCAGTCGAGCAACAATACGTAAGTGGTTAATTTGTTCTTTCATATAAGTGTTTATATCGTCAAGGGGTATTTAGTAATCTAATTTTTTATGGTGTTTATCATTTTTTGAAAATACAGTTGGCTTTAGTCCAAGAGATCAATCAATAAACCCAATCTTCTTCTGAAGCAAGTGGGTCTAACACCAAGTGACATAAAAAAACTATTTTGACAGAATATTAGGTGTTCGATGCGGACATGTTAGAGACATTGGGTGTAAACCTCCTACGGTTGTGTCTATATACGATCAGGAACAACTGATGACACAACAACCACCACAATCACAGGTAATTGTCCATTTAAATTGAAAAGTATTGTGCTATAATAGAAAAATAAAAAAAAGTAGGATGCTATAATCATATGTTGGTAATTATTTGTTTAGTATATAGTACAATGCTATAATGGAAAGTAGAATGCTATAATGATATGTTGATATGTTGGTATCTTGTATTTTGGTTATTTTTAGAAAGTACAATGCTATAATTGGAAAAATGAAAAAAAAAAAAAAAAGTACAATGCTATAATGTATATGCAATATTGTGTATCATATTATTTGGTTATATTTTGATATGTTGATATTTTATAGTTTGGTAATTTTTTGGAAAGTACACTGCTATAATGGAAAAATGAAAAAAAAAAAAAAGTATAATGTTATAATGTATATGCAATATTGTGTATGATGTATGTTTAAGTGTATTTGGAAAATAGAATGCTATAATGATATGTTGGTTATAGTTTGATATATTAGTATTTCTTATTTTGGTTATTTTTGGAAAGTACGATGTTATTATGATATGTTGATAATATATTTTGTTTTCTTTGTAGTTGGATATACTGTAAACAATACTAAAGGACCTGATCCGTTTTGCGGCACTGGAAGATTGGTTTCACTCATTGTTGCCACGAAATGATAACGAAGGAAACGATTGAAGAGATGAAGATGAGTAGTTAGCTTTTTAGGATTTCATGAAATGTTTTGTCTGAGTTAATATTTTAGATATATTGCACTTTGTTTGGATGAATATTTTGGACTGATTGTGTATGGATTAATATTTCTGCAAAATTAAGTTTTGTAGCGGTTTTTATGCATTTATAGTGTTTCTTATAATTTTAATGTTAAATAAAAAATAAAAAATATTTTAGCGGCGATACGTAAGTATCAGCGGCTGCATGTAATTAGCGGCGACAAAAGGCATTAGTGTCAACACAATATTAGCGGCCTTATCTTGAGCATTTACAAAGAGGCAACATCGACGACCTTTTATCGGCAACAAGTCGCTGCTAATATCTTTAGCGACGACATGGACACTCTTTTGTGACGACGCATGTCGCCTCTAATACCTTGATTTCTTGTAACGAGATTAGAGTAAACCACGTCTTGGAAGAGTTGTTGTTCTTCTTGAGTCGATTTATACGATACTTCTTTCCCCTTTTCCTATAACCCCAAATCTATGAATTTCCATAGCCCCAAAGAGTGTTTTAACTTAAATCAGACTTCATTGATGTGTTATTGCACACCTCAAATAGTACCAAAATCCAAGCATTTACATTCCGTTACACTCACAGGTGAATTACACAAAGGCCTAATGAACCTTTCTCTCGATTCTCATAGAAATTCCTCGTTAAATCTGGATCAAACTAACTTGAATTCAACTTGATATAGTCCAATCGGAACATGTTTTCTGAGAGAATTATTTAGTATAGATGGATAAGTATCATCAAAATGAACTAGTTGTGATCTTGGTATGTTGAGTTCGTAAACTCAGGGAAAAACAGGGGCATGAATGTCTTCACACAAGTGTTCACTCTTGTCAACCTTGCTCACTATGATAAAATTAAGCTTCTTGCTTTTAATGGCACCGCACGCACTTCTAAATCTTGTAGGTTTAGTGTTTGGTTTTTAATGGTGGTCGAAGTTGATACATCAAAGATGGTCCGGTGACCTGGTTTGGTACCTGAACGAATGACGATTTACTCTATTTATTATAGATGAAAACTAGTTTATTGTTTTACTCATGGTTTAACATTGCAATCTTATTTTTTCATTTTTCATTATCAATAATTACCCGTTTTTTTAATTACATTTTGCGTTTATTAATTGTAATTTTCTAAACGTTAACAAAAATAACTTATCAATCCATTGTGTTTTCATACTTATAAGTTTCAAGTAATCTAAACATTTATATGTGGCGACAAATTTCGACCACGTTTGATACTTTATGCACCCAATAAACCCAACTCAAAATATTTTCCTTTTCTTAAAAAATCTCATCACCCACATCATTTTTTTTTCAAGTTTTCATATTAAAGTCACCAAAATTAAACCTAAATATATGTTCACCAAAAGAAGAACTATATTGTGAGCTAAAATAAACCAAGTTTTAGAAGAGCTTTATTCTTGTTTGGATTGAGGCGCGACAAATTGGGCACAACTGAAGCGATTCCCCACATTCGTGACATGTCTACCAAATTAAATATAATTAAAAATGCATTTTCCACAAAATCCATATTTATTTAAAGTAAATAAAACTGAAGGAAAAATTTAATATACCTGATGCCCACACCCAAAGGCCATGTTCTTCATATTAGTAAGGCAAACGGGGCATAACTGAATTACAAATTAGAATTAGATAATAATAATAATAATAATAATAATAATAATAATAATAAATATATACCTGTTCATCATTATTGGATTTTGAAATTGTTGCTGACGTGTCATCTTGACTAGTTTGACCATTTGAAGTACAACCATTGTTTTGAAAAGTAGGTGACGGCGATGGTTTTGAGGATTTACAGGAGGAGGAGGATGGTTGACCAACTGGCGGTGGTAGGGCGGCCCTCTGGTGGAATATTCCTCCGCGATTCCTGGAAAAAAAAAAATTAATGAAATAAAGTTAAACAAAGTTTTCTATGGCTATTTTTGATAGAAGATGTTTATCGTCATTTACATTAACGATCGAGGGTATTTACGTCTTTTTGCACAACGAAAAAATTAAAAGGAAGAAAGCCAATATACCCGAGTAAATGTAGTTCAATTGTTGCTTTATATTGAGAAGGGATTTCCATCAATGCTGAAAGAGCAAATTCGGTCTCTTTTCGATTTGAAGGCAAGTATGTTTTTGACATAATTTCCGTAAAATTCACAAACTAGTAACAAAAAAAAAATTAAATATTAAAATCAGTACACATAAAATAATATAACAAGAAATATAACGAATAATAATTATATTGAAGTCACCTGAAAATTATCAAAGTCGCGATTAGGGATATTATCGTCAAATTCCTTCATCATGCCCCAAGGCCCATCTCCTACCCCGACTAATACTATAGAGAGTGGAAGCTTGCTGTAAAAAACAACAATGTCGATAATCATAATATTTTAATTATTAATTAATTAATTAATTAATTACCTTGCCTTGACTATGGCTTCTATAGTTTTCTTTTCTTCTGAATGACCAACTTGCCCATCAGCGATGATTAATAGGACATGGTATTGGCCTCCACTTTGATCGACAATTGCCATCGCTTGTTCAATCACAGGGGCAAAAGATGTGGGACCTACACAAAATTTAAAAAATTAAAAAGTTTAATTTTATGACTTAATTAAAAGAAAGATTACGCTGAAAAGAAGTATATTAGATTAAGAACCTGAAAGATTTAGATGAGGGACAATTTCTCTGTATCTACTTAACACATCTTCAAATCCATTACAGAATCTATCTTCATGATAAAAACTGAAAACAGCTTTCTCATGTGTTGTTGCTGATAATTGAGAGCAAAAACAAAAAAATAAAAAAAATTAACATCTTTATAAAGAATGAAGATTAGGTGAAATCATGAAGAAAGTATATATACTATGTATACCATCTCCAAATCCATAACATGGAATCAAGTTATCTTCATCAAAATCTGCTAATGTCTTCCCGATGATGGATATGGCATGTTCGTAGGGGTTTAGACTATGATCTGAAATATGATGTAAGCTTTTTCCATTGAAGGATTGTGAACCTGTTTTCGTGATCTAATGTTAGCATGTTTGATTCGCTTCGATTGATGGAATTGAAAAGGCATTGATTACCTGTCCATTCATTGCTTTTGGTGAAATCAATGCCGACGATGAGGTTGGAAGATTCGAGTCCGGCATTTGAAAGAGCCTGTGTCACCTGCAATCGTTCAAATTGATCGTATAATTCCAATCAATACAAGAGAAACGCACGATGGATAGGAATCAGGATACGAGAATCGATTCAAATTAACAAGAAAAGTTTATAAAAGTTACCTGTTCTAGAGAAGTGTAATTATCAGCGATTCGTGAATATCGTTTCTCGAGCTTCTTTTGTGGTTTATGAGGTTGTGCGCCGTACGCCGGAGTAGAGGATGACGGCTGCGAAGGATAACCGCCGTACTGATTGTTTGAACAAGATGATGTCGATTGGCTATACTTCCCTCCTTTTGCCTTTGAATTCTTCGAACTCTTGGCCCCCATTGATTAATCTGTAGAGTTCCGATATATTCTTCTTTAAAAAACAGTTTCTCGAAGGCAAATTGTGAATGATTGAAACGAAAAACCCTGAAAACCCTTATTTATAGTGAAAACTGAAACACATTAGTTAGTAACATGATCGAAATAACGCGGATATTTGAAGAGAATTACGCGGAAGATTAACCAATCTTCTATATTTGGTAACGCAACATAGACATTTGAAATTCCCTTTTTACGGAAAACCCGAAACAGAAATCAATTTTGTTGCTATATCGTTGCTGTATCTCAAAACAAAGGGATCGGTAATTTGGAGGAAGTTCAATCTCTTATACCTAGAAGAAACGTAAATCAACCTTGTAAATTCTAGCTAAACTACATTAGTGTTTTCTCTACATTAGACAAGTTGGCTCTGATTCAGTTCAAGAGTTTAATGTAATCAGTAATTTTACCATTTTCAGATTCAACTTCGGTGATGAATTTGGAAGGATGATTCGAAGAAACAAACCTGGATAGATTCTCTGAAGCGTTGATATGTGCCGTTTACAAATGATGTCAAGGATTTCTCAGAGCATCAATGGAAGAAGATTCCGATTAGTTTTGGATGTTTTGGTTTTATGGAGTTGTATGCATGGAGTCCACTTTCTACTGTCGTCTGGCCTCTGGATTTCTTCCTCAACAAATCCACGATAAATTAATTTATTTCATCAATTTGGAAACTTTTTTTAAGGAGATTCTGTTGGAGGTTGTTCACCATTTTCGTGAAAAGACACCCTTTTTGAAAAGAGAAATTAAATAATGAAATAGCAATTTTCTTCATTATAAGTAGGTTATTTTATTGGAAAAGATATTTCTATTTATGAATTTGATTCATACATTAAAAAAAATATATATCTTAGACTAATATATACTTTATATTTATATAATAATTATATATTTTATTTTCTTTATACTAATAAAATAATAGTTTTTTTTTTGACATTTGTTATCATATCAGTGATCCTAACTAGTGTAATGTCAATTGTTAACTCCATTTTAAATTTAAAATTTTAAAATTCTCATTTTAACCATATTAAATTAATAACATTAGAATAAAAAACAAATATAATTAATATATATTATAAGGTGATATAATTTCACATATTTATTTGAATCAAAGATTATAATTTTATATAACTAAAATATATATCTTAATTAATAATTAATTTAAAACAATTAATTAATAATTATAAGTTTTTACTATAAAAGTTTAAATAATTTTGTAATCATAGTTCCCTAGATTATAAACTAGTATATATTAAAAAGAGAAGGGTTATAAACAGTGATAAGGGTTGAGCCTAGCCAAATGGCCTTTCTGTCGGTTGTCTGGTTTTTAGGTTCATTGGCTTTGACAGAACTAGCTTCCCTCCTAGAGTTTACCGGACCTTCAATATGTGTTCTTCTGCTGATACGTCTTATGTCCTTCCGTCCTCCACCGTATCCGTCTTTCACTTCTTCTTTCCCATCTTCTATTCCACGCTTCTCCAAAAATGTTGTCTCCTTGGTTGGGTTCCGATTTTCATTGTTCTTTACCAAAATTTGAGGGGATGTATTTGATTTGTGATTCTTGTGATGGCTTCCCATTTTGATTGTTCTTTATCAAGATTATGGCGATTATGAGTTTTTAGGGTCCTGTTTTGGCAGGGGAACTCGGGAAGATATATTCGATTGGAATATGCAACCATATCGGTGTTTGATCCCCGTTTTTATGGCCTGCTTTATAGACACCCTCCCTGGAGACAATGAGTATGTATGTATATTTTTGTAGGGTTTGATTTGAAGCTAAAATATCTCCTCTGTAGATACGTGATTTGAAGCAATCACTTGGAATACCCCTTCTCTACCCCCTCTTTCTATACTTCTTCTTTGTTCCTCTTCTGTTCCCTCTCTCTATCTACAACAAAAAATCAATTATTAACATAAAAATAAATTCCATCTTTGCTGCTCTTTGTTTTACTTGATTACAAATTCATGTTTGATTTCTATTTTCAAAGCTATGTAACAGTGGAGAGGATGGAGGAATCGACGCCCAAGTTCCCAAGAAATCGACGAGTTCCCTTATCCTATCCAGTCACTCGATTTGGTGCTAATTTACAAGGGGTATTGTAACAGTTGGTAAAAATAGGTCAAGAATCCTCGGTCAAACATCGTGAAGTCCTTTGTAATTAGACATATTGTACACACAATTGTATTATTATAAGCAATTGAATTCGATATTTTTATAATTTCTTGTAAATTTAATCCATTTTGTGCTTAGGCTTTAACCTAATATTTGATTTCTAGTTTTATAGTTTTTTTATTAACATATAGCGAAATCAAATGAATGGAAACTATCGAATCCAAACAGTTTAAATGTAGAACTTTAAACGTCATTTCACGAAAATTCTTGTATTGAAATTGAATTCCATTCAGGTTTTTGAACTCATCACATATGGCATAATCAGCAGAATGTACGAGATATTTTAAGGAATCAAATTTATTATTAATAAAATTTGAGAACAAAAAATAATAACATTACCATAGAATAATGGTGAGTAAATACATTTTAAATAAATACCCAAGCATTTATATGTTTTGTATTTGTATACACACTCAAGAAATTGTAGGTTATGTATTTTATAAATATTCAAGTATGTATATGTTATGTATAATACCAAAAGACTAAATGTTTATACATTCAATTAATAATTTTGAAATCATATAGTACCAAAGGAATTAGCCATCTACCCAAATTGAAAGTTTTACTAACAATTTCACTCTCTATCTTAGGTATCCCTCTCTTTCTCCACACTTGCACTCACAAACTCATGCACATGCATGTGAATCCTCTAAGATATTATAGTACAAATAGTAATTTCCATGAAGCTTCCTTTGTACAAATTAAATCTTAGAAAATATCATATGTACAATTTCCTACTCATATCTTCCTTACAACTCTCGAACCTTACTCTATATTTCACAATCTTTTCTTTCAAAATAACTCAATTTCCAGCCATTTTCTCCTCTTCTAAACCCACCAAATTGAGAATAAGAGAGGATGTTTCCTCCCTTCTTTGGCAGCATTCAATTCAGCCTTATACCCCCATGTTTTCTTGAGTTTACAAGCCTAAAACACCACCTAATAAGCCTTGTGTTGTTTCAAAAATAGAAGGCCAAAACAACCCCAAAATCCCTCTTTTTCTCCTTTGTTTCTTGCTGAATTTCGAAGACCAAAGAACCCCTATAAGAGGCTATTTTTTCTGAGAGAAAGAGGTGTTACTTCTTGGTTCCATTTCTGAATCGAGTAACCTACAAAAAACGTTAGTAATGAATGCAGTGGCTGAGACTGGAGTTAGACTCGATTCCCTTAAACTGATTCGACGTCTGTTCCCAGGGTACAACAGCCTAAACAGTGTGTATTGTCGGATATGTCTACTTGCCTGAAAGAATCGTCAGAAAAGGTTGTAGAGAAAAAGAGGAAAAGATGAGTATTTTTCATGTGTGTCGAATGAGACAGTAGAGGTATGCTTTTATGTTGGTTTATGTAACATCAAGAAAGCAATTCTTCATTAAGGAATTAATTGTGAAAATAAATGTCATTACTACACAATGAATGCATCAGGTACAAAAATTTAAACTAAGGACCAAAAATTTTAAAGTTTAGCAAAACAAGGGTTGCACATGCGCAAGTTTTCAGAGTTGCATTCGTGTCTGCATTCCACGCCCATGCACAAGTTTGGTGAATTTGGCCTAAGAAATCCAAGATTCACACCCTTTTCATGCGGATAGTGTGATATTCCCATTTTCACAGCCAGAAAAGACCGATTTTGTTTATGCTTTATAAAAATAAGAATATCTCTTTTTAATAAAAATGTTGTGGAATTTGTTCCCAGTAAAACATGATAAATACGTTATCAAAGCATTTCCAAATAAAAGTATTTTTATTCATTTTAAAACATTTGGGATGTCATCGTCAATAGAGAAACATAAGCATAAACAAAACTTACATTCATTATCACTAGTGATTTGTATCTCCTTAATCTCTCAATGTAATGTGACTTCATATCAATACATGTGTTATAAATAAACTGAGTGGGTCAGATTGGGAAACCTGGTGAGTACATAGGGTTTTCAACCCACAATAATAGAATTATTATGTTTAAACATTTAAACAATCGAACCAATTACCCATCCCCATTATCATCTTTATTCTACCCTAAGAATTCAGCTCTTCCTCGTTTATTTATTCCTAAGGGTTATCCTAAGGAATAGGCACGAAATCCATCGTTGCCAAGGTTGACTCAACAGGCACTAAATCCATAGTTATCAAGGTTTATCTCGTTTATTGACAGTATCATTTCCGAGACTCCTCTTGCAATACAGGTCAATGGGTTTTATCTCGTTTATCGACAATATCGTTTCCGAGAATCCACTCGCAATACATGTCAATGGGTTTTTAGAGTACACCTAGTGAATACACAATTCAAAACACCTACAAGTTGCGAGCCTGCTAGTGTCCACTAGACTGTCTAGAATAGTCTGCGGTTGTTATCCATACTCTACTGGATGATGGGGCCAACACTTGGATAAAAGGCTTCTCTCATGGTTCACCTTTCACCGTTACCTCATGGTCTATATCACCTCTTCATCATTTTATTTTTGTCTCATAAAAACTATTTCATCTACCCATGTTTTACCCAACACATTTTGTAGATACAAAATATGAATACAGTTTAAATAATTTAAAACATGTATAAAAATCTTTCACCCAACACAGACAATAAGTATTCAGACAATATACACACATAGCACGTAGTTTATATAAAATACTTCATATCTATGTGTAAGATGAAATTAACTATGCACTCACATAATACGGTGGTGACTCGGTACTCGAACAGCACCTCGTTACTCTCAACACAATTTTCCTCGGACAAAACCTAGTATAATTACCGCTAGAGTTTAGTCTAATATTTACCAAGACTGATTAATAGTCTAACTATTATTACTATTATATAAGTGTTAAAAAAATACTTATATAACCCATAATAATAGCCCAAGTACTTATTATAAGGTCCTAATAACATTACTATTTTGAAACATAAGTTATACTAAAGATAGGGTAGGCATAGCTCACTTACAGCGGGTTTTCTCGAAAACCAGGCTTCGCCGGAGTAGCATTCCCGAGCCGAAAGGCTCCTTTCTTGGGGCTTAGGGAGCCTCGGGGCTTCCTTCGGGTGCTAGGGGGTTTACATAGACTTTAGGGGGCTTAAGGGAGGCTAGAGAGAGAGTTTAGAGAGAGAAAGTTGAAGGGGAGAGGTGTGGGAAATGAGAGAACCCGACACCTTTATTTATAGAGTGAAATCCTGATGGACTCACCGAGTTGGTTCACGGACTCGCCGAGTCGGTGCCACGTGTCATCACCTGATGGCTTTTCTTGGGGAGAAACACTTGGCCCATATTTAGCCACGTCACCCCTTTTGCAGCAGCACCCTGCCGACTTCTAAACCGCGTAACCTTCACATACGAGCTCCGTTTTAGACGTTCTTATTTTCCATGCGTAGGTAAAAACAAGATCTACAACTTTCGTTTAGACTCTGTTGGCTAATTCTCGACCGATCTTAAATTTAACAGTAGGAGGAGATTAGATTGTTAAATGACCACGAATAATTCGTAACTCCTTCATACGGACTCCGTTTTCATCTGTCTTTT